ATTTCCTCAAGAAAAAGAGTGTTATTGCATGTCTATCCTGGGATTGGAACTGAGGCTATTCTTTTTTTTTTTTTTTCTTTTTTTTCCTTTTTGTCTTTTTTCGTGACCGGCAACGGGATCGCAACCCTCGGTGCTGCGCCCGCACCTCGCTCAGCCAGTGAGCGGCCGGTCTGCATGTGGGATCCAAACCCTCGGCAGGAGCGTCGCTGCGCTCCCAAGCGGCGCACTGTAGCAGTGCGCCACCGGGCCGGCCCAGAGGCTATTCTATTTTTCACTCATCAAATTTTTTATTATAAATTGAGGTGTTAACGTTGGGTGAAGGGGACTATGGAGTTCTCCATATGTTATTTCCTCTACTTGTGTGTATGTTTTAAAGCATTTAAAAAGAATACAATTTCAGAGTAAGATCAAGGTTCCTGAGGAAAAAAGCTCTAGAACTGGTTTCAAGTCTGATTATATAAATGCATGTGTGTATAAATTACTCACTTTTAAATAATACTTTTAACCATTTTTTTATTGTGGCAAAATATATATAACATAAAATTCACCATTTCAACCATGTTTAAGTGTTCAGTGGCAGTGAGTACATTTGCATTGTTGTGCAACCATCACCACCAAACATCTCCAAAAATTTTTCATGTTCCCAAACAGAAACCATACTCATTAAACACTAGCTCCCCATTCCTCCTGTTGGAGTGAGCAGGACTGAAGCCATGTTGGGACCTAAAGCTGCCTGGGCTACGGAGCAGGGGAGGATTTTTAAAAGGACAGGTTTTTTTTCTCTCCACTCTTGCTTCCCATCCCCTGACTTTCTTATCTTGCTCGCTAAGGAGGAAAACAAGGCCGAGAAGCTAATTAGTACTTTGCAAAGCTAACAGTTCTTTCTTTGAGTCTTGTAGAGTTTTGAGAAATGATCAAGGCCAAATGATGGAAGCTGACCTTGGGCACCAGCCAAGTACACCAGTGCAAATCAAAATCTTGCAGGGTCCTGAGATAACAGCAAAGATGAGAACAAAAACCAGATAAGGCTTTGGCAAGACCTTGTACCTGACCCATAGAAATGGACCCCTGTAGCGTACATTTCCTGCTCTCCTGCTTTTCACCTCCCACATTCCATTCCCTCAAGCCTTCCTTTAAAAACCCCTCAGTAAATGTGAATCTTGGAGATGGGATAGCTTACCATCTCCTTCAGCTGAATACATCTGCTTTCTAACACCAACCATTTGACTTCTGAGTTTTTTTCTTTCCTTTTCAAGGGGGCGGGCAGCCAGACCTGAGTCCGGTAACACTCTCTTTCCCTAGCCCCTGGAAACCACCATTTTAACTTTGTCTCTGATTTTGACCACTTTAGATACCTCAAATAAGTAGAATCAAACAGTATTTGTCTTTTTGTGATGGGCTTATTTCACTTAGCATAATGTCTTCAAGGCTCATCTGTGTTGTAACGTGTAAGAATTTCCTTCTTTTAAAGGCTGAATAATATTTCATTGTATGTATATGCCACATTTTGTTTGTTCGTTCATCCATTGATGGATACTTGGGTTGCTTCCACCTTTTGGCTATTGGGAATAATACTGCCATGAATATGGGTGTACAAATATCTATTTGAGGCCGTGCTTTCAATTCTTTGGGGTATATACTCAAAGGTGGAATCGGTAGATCATATGGTAATTCTATTGTAATATTTTGAGGGATCACCGTACCATTTTCCACAGTGGGTATACCATTTTACACTCCCCTCAGCAATGCACAAGGGTTCCAGTTTCATTACATCCTCACCAGCCTTTATTTTACTGTTTTTTGTATAATAGCCATTCTAATGAGTGTAAAGTGGTTTGGATGTCCCTCCAAATTCATTAAGGCTTGGTCCCCACTGTGGCAGTGGTAAGAGCATGGGAAGTCCTAATGTGGTTGTTGAAAAGTGGGCCTTGAAGAGGTGATCAGATTGTGAGGACGATGCCCTAGTAACTGGATTAATCCATTGAGGGTTTAATGGTGGTCATGGGTGTGGTTCTGAGGGCTTTAAAAGGACAGCTAATTAGGCCATTAGCTCTCTCACTGCTCCACCATTCTCACCACTAGATACCCTGCATTGCTGTAAAGCCACCAACAAGGAGGCCTTCACCAGATGTGTTCCCTGGACGTTGGACTTCCCCGCCTCCAAAACTATCGTTCTTCACAAATTTCCCAGTTTCAGGTATTTCTGTTATAAGCAATGGCAATGAACTAATACAGAAAATTGGTACCAGATAAGTGGGGTGTTGCTTATAACAAATACTTAAAAATGTGGAAGAAGCTTTAGAACTAGGTGTTGGGCAAAAGTTGGAGGATTTTGGAGGACTCAGAAGAAGACATAAAGACAAGGGAGAGTTTGGAACTTCTTAGAGACTGTCTAAATGGTGGTGAGCAGAATGCTGATAGAAATATGGACAGTAAAGGCCATTCTGAAAAGATCTCAGATGTAAATGAGAAGAGACTTATTGGAAACTGGGGCAAAGATCACCCTTGCTGTGAACTGGCAAGGAACTTGGCTGCATTCTGTTCATGCTCAAAAGTTTTATAAAATGTTGAACTTAAAGACACTGAACCAGGGTATTTGGTGGAAAAAATTTCTGAGCAGCAAAGAATTCAGGAAGCCTCATGGCTACTTGCAACAGCCTATACTGAGTTATGGCAGAAAAGGCATGAGTAATGCCAGAATTTATAATAAAAAGTGAAGTAAACATAAAAATTTGGAAAATTTGCAGCCCAGCCATGTGATAAAGAGTGAGAGAGCATTTTCCAGAGAAAAACTCAAGGGTGCAGCCCAACAGCCCCTTGCTAAGGAAACTAATACAGAAAAAATGGATTATCAAGAGAAGGGGGTAAAGGCCCTGACGGCATAAGTCTCTGGGACCACCCCTTCCATTGCAGGCCCAGAGGCCTAGGAGGACCAAATTGTTCTGAGGGACAGACTCGGGGTG